GTGGCAGTGGAAAGTGCAGATCACAGAATGAGCTGCCTCAGGAGATGTTTCCCTGCACCACAACCTGCCACAGGAGAGGCCCAGCCCAGCACACCTCACATCAGGATCCCCTCCTCTCCTAACAGATGCAGGAGTCGAGGGTTCAGGACACTGCTCAGCTTGAGCTCCCCAATTTGCACAACGTGCACCATCAGGAAAGGTGTTTTGCTGTCCAGGAGATCTCAGGGATCCATGTATGGCAAAGGGGCAGGGCTTGGTGAGCTCCCCAGGTTTGTGCCCTGCAGTACCAGGGCACTTCAAGGACCAGAGGGATGGAGACCTATTGAAAATCAACAGCGACTCTGACGCTGGTGAGGGAGAGAGAATGACTCCATGGATATCAGAAGGCTAATTAATTATTCTATTTTACTATATTATTCTGTACATCTTAAACTGAACCTGCCTAGCACTCAACCCTGCACACACTGCCCAGAATCTCATGACTGTCACCCAACAGTCCCCACACACACACACACTCTTGGCCCTGATAGGCCAAGAAAACGAAGCACCATCACTTTGGGTAAACAATCTCCATATTGCATTCTACTTTTGCACAAACACAGGCACAGCAAACAATAAGAATCGTGTTTTCTTTCTCTGAGGTTCAGAGAATGTGAATCCCAGAAATATTCTTGGGAAGAATTGTGCCTTACATTTCTCTGTGAAGAGAAATGTGGGTCTACAAAGACCCACCATGGCCTTCCATGCCCAGAAGCAAGAACCAGCATGGACACCTCAGCCTGGGAGAGCAGACATGAGTTTCCTTGGATTTGCACAGTTCCTGATGCATGCAGAGCATCACAGGAGCTCCCTGGTCTGAGCCATCCACACCCCCTGGCATCTCCTCAGAAATCCAGTTTGCAGGAGATAAACCATGGCACACCACAAGGGAGGCCAGGCCAGGTGACAAGGACACAGCAGAGCCACAAACTTCAACTCAACAAACCCCACTGCAAAGCCAGGTCTGGATCATGTGCCAGCATCTTTACAGCAAAGAGAGGGTTCAGAAAGGCTTCAGAACAACACTCCTGGATGTGATAGCTGGGAAAAATCTTCTCCAAGGCCTTCACCACCAAATCCCTGTGCTGCCCAACTGCGTATCACTCACTCCTTTGTGCACTCTGCCACTGGAAAGGGCTGCAGGGCACAGCACTCTGCACCCATGGGCACTCACCCTCCATAGAAAAGCAAAACCAGAGACATCCCAGGTGCTGAGGAAAGGTCAGAGAGACAGAAAAAGCCTTGCAGGAGGAGCAGCTGTGCCAGCTGGAGCCAAGGAAGGGGTTCAGCACCCATGGCAGGCCTGGGGCTGTGGATCTTCCTGGCTGGGCTCAGCTTGTATCTGCCTCTGGGAAATGTCCTGGAGACAATAAACCTGGCAGGTTTATTGTCAAAAATAAATTTTTGGGGTTTTAGAATGGGGGCTCAGGGTCCCAAGATGGAGGAATTTGAGCGTGCCCTGTCCTTCTTCTTTCTTCTTCCTAGCTCCCATCTTCTGGGTGATGCTGGCACTTTTGGATTGGTTTAGAGAAGAAGCTCACTGTCTAACATAGGTGATACGTATTGGGAAGTTATGGTAAATAATGTACACATAGTTTTTAGTATAAAATATAACATCACCTCTGAGGTGGTCAGAGTGCCTCTGTCTGACCTGCTGAACAGACCTCAGCAGACCAGAGAAAGAATTTTATCGATAAGAAACAATAAACAACCTTGAAAACAAGACCAGAAGAGTTCTGACTCCTTCTTTGATTGCTGGGCTGGGAAAAGAGACTTTCTAACCTATCTTGGGGTCACTCTGAGCAGCAGAGATTCTGAGACGCTGGGAATCTTTAAATAAAAAGATCTCTCTGCTTGGGAAGACCTGCAAGAAGACATAAAGACAGAAGAACCTGCAAGAAGACATAAAGAGGTTCTTGGTGGGCCATTCCCCCTCTGACTCAAGAATGACAGGGCTGGCTCAAGGAAGCCAAGCACTCCCAGCCCAGCCACAAGTCCCATATCCTCTGGGGATGAGCCAGAGATCTCTGCTCTGCCAGTGTCCCCTGGGAAAGGCTGGGGGTGCCTGTGCCAGCCCCCTGGGTGAGCACCAGGGGCTCATGACAGGCAGCTCCATTCCAACGTGCTCCTTTAGTCCCTGACCCCTTCCTGGCAGCTGCTTGTTTAACAACACCACACACGCCTGGAGAGCTTCCTGGGGAAAAAAAAGGGGGAAAAAAAAAAAAAAAGTCAAACTTAGGAGGCGTTCAAGCCAGCCTCATTTTAATCTATTTTTCGTGTTAAATTATCCAACTGAGGGAGCAGGAGAGAGAAAGGGGAAAGAAGGGATAATATGAGAAATGTTTTATTTGACAACGTGTCATTGGGAAACTGATTATTTCTGTCTCCGAGCTTTTTAATATTCCCAAACAATGGCCGAGCCGCGTGGGGATTTGGTATTCTAAGGCTGGATTTATAATACTCTGTTCTGCAGTGATAAGAACACGGGGCCTTTAATCCTCTGAGCTGTGAACATGCATATTCTCCCACGTAATGTCCTTCCTGCCATGCTCCTGCTGCCCTGGGCCGGCCAAGCAGGGGCCACCAGCACCAGAGCATTGCCAAGACCCACAGGAGAGGAGAGGGAATGGGAGAAGGAAAATGGGGGAGAAGAGGGATGGTGGGAACAACCCATGTGTGGAAAGAACTGCAGGGCTTGTGGTGCCACAGCAAAGCTCAGCTGAAGCTGAAGAGCAGCAACGCTGGTGTTGGAACCCAGGAGATTCCTCTGGCTGTCCTGGAAGACTTGAGACCCTGCCAAGGGGCTCAGAGACATTGGCACAGAGCCCAAGACCCCTGTGCCTTTGATTTAGCCCTTGGAAAAAACAATTACCAACCTTTATATGAAGAATTGCAAGTCAAGAGAGTCTAAGTAGAGTAATAGTTGGTTTGTCATGGGGTGACAAAATAGATTTTTGGGGTTTTTAGAATGGGGGTTCAGGAGGCAAGATGGAGGGATCTAGGCATGTCCAGCCTTTCTCCTTCTTCTTCTTCTTGGCCTCCATATTCTGCTGTGACGGTGGCACTTTTGGATTGGTTTAGAGTAGAAGCTCACTGTCTAACACAGGTGATAGGTATTGGGAAGTAATTGTAAATAATGTACACGTAGTTTTTAGTATAAAAAGATAACACTGCCCCAGGGCAGGCAGAGTGCCTCTGACTGTCTTGCTGAGCGAACCTCAGCTGGACAGGAGAAAGAATTTTATAGATAAGATACAATAAACAACCTTGAGACCAAGAAACGAAGAGCTCTGAATCCTTCTTTGACTGCTGGGCTGGGAAAGGAGACCTTCTAACACATCTCAAGATCACCCTGACCAGCAGAGATTCTGAGAAGCTGGGAATTATTTGAAGCCCAGAAGGAAAATCAATGGGAGAGGCCACCCTGAAGCTCAAGAGATTGAACCCTCACATCAATTATGAAGGCTGCCAAGCTGTAGGATTGGAAGGCCATCACTCTGTGGCAGTCTCTGAGATGCTGAAAAATTTCTGGGCAGCAAGAGGACGCATTGCTGCTTTGAACACAACCCCCAGCCTGCCCTACCAAGCCAGGGAAGGGCAAGGGAGTCCCACTGAGGCTCTGGAGTCCAGGAAAAACTTCCTTGCAGCAGCCTCTGGCCTTTCCAGCTCTGTTCCCCACAGTGGTGGGATGTGCTGTGATCCCTTGCAGGAATCCTCCATCCCTGTCACCCAGTGACAGCCCAGCTGTTCAGAAATCAAGCCCTGACAGTCTTGCAGCTGCCACACCAAAAGGGCTGAAGCCACAGAAGAAAATCCCAGGCTGGAGGGGATAGTTTGGGCAGGGCAGACCTCTAATACCACAGCACCCCTTGTGTAGGTAAAAGCAAACCCAGTGCTAAACAGCACAGCACTCAAGTCTGTGCTGACCTGGGCTCCTTCCTCCCAACACCAACACAAATTTTTGTCCTCAGACAAGAATATACCTCTTTATTTCCTAACTTGAAGCCATTTATTGTCCAACACTGTGCTGGCAATCAGCCCTATGGCTACTGAGGTGCTGCTGAATGAAGCAGGGCTCCCACAGCCCCAGACATGGCTCCAAGGAGAGTCCCCAGGCTGCCCAAGGATGCCCCATGGGCTGAAGGAGCCCCACACCAGAAATGGGCTCCCACAGCCCCAGACATGGCTCCAAGGACAGTCCCCAGCACTGCCCAAGGATGTCCCAAGGGCTGAATGAGCCCCCAGTGCTGGAGCATCTCATCCCCTGCATCATCCCAGCAGCTGAATTAGGGTGAGCAATCAGGTCCAGCAATAACCACACAACCCTCGGGGCTCTTCACACTGTGTACTTTTC